TTTAATTAACAAATTTTTTCTCAATATTTTCTAGAATACGCAATTGAATTTTAGGAATCGTAGAAAAGTCGCTTGCGTAGTGGATCAAAAATTTAGTTATAATATTAAGAGCTTTTGATTTGCATAACGTTACAATAGTTCATAGTCCAGACTCACATTACCGTCGAAAAAGAAAAAGAAAAAAAAACAAACACTATTTTGATGATTTAAATAAAATTCACTTTTCCAGGTTTATATTAATCACTTTTTTCTAAATAATATAATGTTTCTTCTAGTGTTAAAACAATTATAATATATACACACACCCACACACACACACACACACACACACACACACACACACACACACACACACACACACACACACACACACACACACACACACACACACACACACACACACACACACGCGCACACGTATATTTGTATGTTTGTATATGTATATATATGTATGTATTTATATATGTGTATATATATTTATATAAAATTTTGATTATATACTTTTATTATTATCATTTAAAACATATTGCATATTATATTTATTCTATATGACTTTAATTGTAAATTACACTTTGGAAATCTCATATCCGATCTCCACATGCAACGCTCAATTCATGTCTAAGAACAGTATCATCAAAAAGTATGTAATAAGGCCAAGAGGGGGAGCCAGGAGACCCATAGCACAGGGTAACCTAGTTTGGGCTCCTGTCTCCCACTACTACTCAAAAACTTTTTAACTATTTATGAAACTATTGTAATTATGTAAAAAGTGGGAGAAATAAATGTTTATTATTATTATATATTATATAGCTACTTATTGCTTTTTGTAAAATTTGTATTAAAATATATTTCGCTTGTTATCACACTGTCACTATTTTAATTATTCATTAAGTTCACTTATCTATGTTTCTGATTATTATTTAGTTCAAAATGTTGTTTTAATGGTTCTTTTAATACTTCAACGATTATTTTATGAAATGTTTTAGCAAGAATAATTAGTTTATTACGGTTTTGCTGTACTTGCAAACAATGTCACTTTAATTTCACAGTTTTTACTCCACTTTTAATTCATTTTCCGACTATTTATGTTTATTTTATTTTATTTGGAACAATTTATTACGGACTGATATGAATTTCGCGTCTTATGTAAACGACGGTAGTCTAACTACTAACGCTTCATTATACATCTCTGGCGTATAATCTATGTTTCGGCATTGATATCTTTGCCTAATTCGGTGCAATATGTCTTCTGTCAAACAATTTTAATATTTTTCCCACAAATTTTGTGCTTGAGATGGATAACATGTCGTCAAAATAATTGCAAACAGCTTACGAATATTATTGAGCGTTAATGTCAACGCAGCAACAGCAAGCGTTAAGTCCCAATGGTTATTGTCTTCTAGCAATTGCAGTTCACGACATGCATCTTGGTATGTATGAATACTCGACCATTCACTGTTCGCAGAAATTAAAAAGACGTTGGTCCGCGAACATTCAGCAATAACAAACGTAAATAGAAGCACTCACGTTGATTCGGATATACCGTGTAAAGTCACCCCAATTTCTTAGCTTTGAATATGCCTATAATGGAAAGATGAGGTTTTCCTTGTTTTCGTAGCTCCCATTTTTAACGCATTTGTTCCATGTGAAATAACGTGGAACATCAATATATGTCAATGTCTTTGCGAATTGGCCAAAAATATTAGATTTTTGACACAATGTAAAAAATTCAGTTAGTTTCGTTTTTGGAACCTCAAGCGCTCTTTGGATAACATTTCTTCAGTGAAGTATAAAGGTTGACCATTTTCAAGATGTATTGCTAGATGCTGCACGGAAGGGTCTCTTTCGTGTATGGGAAAGCTAAGAATATGCCAAATAGCTTCGTTGCTGCTAATGTCTCTACCCATTTGGAATTGTGTTATTTCTTCATTTTTATTTATATTTTGCACTTCAAACATGACCAAATTACTGCCTTTATTTACATACTTAGAAATGTACCTTATTTATTTTACAGAACTGCAAAGCTCGACATTGATATGAGCCTTATAAGTTTTTGAAATTAATGGTGAGTATGGTAACACCCACTGATAATCAAGTTCTACTTGATTAATAAAATTCGGCAGTCGCATTGTGAATCTGTGGCCACCATTCTCAATATTTCTGCGGCGATACATTGGATAAACGTCAATATCCGTGATAGTTTCATTCGTATGCGGCTTTGGGAAATTTTACTAACATTTTCCATTTTCCCTGCATAGTGACGTCATGTTGAAAGTACCGCACGCCCCATGTATCATGTGTTTGTTAACAATATCAAATAATTCTTGATCAATTGATGGGTCTGGAATTTTGCTGAAATTATTTGATCTACTTCTTCTGGACGGATTTTATCTTGAAGCCAAATTAAAATGTGGGCATGAAGCAAACCTCGCTTTTGCCACTCAATCGAATATAGCCAACGTTTAATACCAAAAACTGAATATTTAACAATAAAATCAATTGAGGATTTCAATATTTGTTTGAACACATGTGCAGTTATATCATGACGATGAATTGCTTGTTATCCTGGTAATTGTAAAGTTTATATCTCTATCTAATTCGGATTATATGTGAATGTAATAAACAAATCTGGTCAGCCGTAATGATGTACATAAGTTATCGCATCTTTTATGTATTCCTGCATGTTCCGTGGACTGCCAATGTAGCTTGAAGGTAAAATGAAAGCATTACCGATGTCTCCTACAATGTCTACTGTCGATGTTTCCAACAACGGCATCTCGTATGTGAATGTATTCTTTCGATCATAATTTAGCCTGGTTCTATCGAATGAATCGCAAGCGTTCGCTTTCAACCTTAGCATACACATCAACATGTATTGATGGAACAGCTGACGATATCGAAGAATATAGTTGTCCTGTTATAGTCTTCTGCTTCCAGCAGTCTTCAATTGATGGTTAGTTTCACTCTTCTATATCCAATGACGTAACACTGCTAACTCGAACTTCACAATTTTTGATCCCCTCTCCTTCTTCTGGCAATATTCACTGCTCAGTGAACACCGTGACGCCGTCTCTGTCGCTGCTCCCCGTAGTTCACTCGTTCTTCGCTTTCGTTGACGCTCACCGTGAACTACAGCTACAGCTGTGACTAACTCCACTGGGACGCTTCTTCACCGCCAGCCATCCCATACCTTACAAGCAGCAACGCACTGTTTCTGGATGCGCCGTGTGACTCCTAACTAGAAATCACAAATAAACCTGCCCTTACTGGTTCTTATTCATCCGGCGCGATGGACCGTGAATATACTTGTTCTCACCAGAGGGTTAAATATTAACTAGGTTTAAAATTAAACTGACTAATATCTTGATATAACTCAATATATTTCTATAAAAATTCCACAGAGATATCATTTCACAAATGACGCAACCATAGCGTGAATTAAATGACATGTGTCGCCATCTATTGACGAACATATACAACATTTAATAAATATTTTCACTTACTTGGTTTACTTTATTTTTTAGTTTTAAATATTTTTTTTATTTTGATCTAATTTTTATAATATTAAAACCTAAACACTCGTATTTCTATTACTTATCACATTTTGAATACTTTAATAAAGTTTTTAATAAATTTATTGACTTTGAAAGATAATATTACTGTAATACTTAATGTCTGAAATGTATTTAATTTAATTTTATGCTTATTAATGTATTTTTATTGTTCAATATATTTATTCTAAGATAAATTTTGACAATACTATTTAAAAATTAATTATTTGTAATAATAATGGGCCATTACAAAAAGTTTAAATAAAGTTACTATATCTTTTTGACGACGATCGTGAAGAGATAATAATTTGAAATAAACTAAGTATTCGTCATATGAAGAATTCAAGCCATTATTGCAATAATTCGATGCGTGTAATAAGGACTCAACACAACGCAGCCAAAGTCCAAAATAGATCTGACAATATAAAATTATATTGTATACGGTATAATGATTGGCAATAATAAATACAATTAAACTATGCATTTGTTTTGTTATCATTATACAACCAGTTTAAAACATCTTACTTCCTCACTATTTATTAGTGTGTAACAATATAGATAAACATGATATTACCTAGTCATTTTGGTATTTTATTACCGAGTTATAATATGTTTTGGTTGACTAGTAAGCATACATACTTACTAATCAACCAAAACAAGTTACAACGCCTTGGTACCGTGCCGGTCCGTCTCTGTTCTATTATCAATCGACTACTTCGAAAACGATGATTTAGAATAATAAATGCAGTTCCCTTAAGTATAATTTCTGTTTTTTATCTTAACACAACCAGTTTAAAACATCTTTCTTACTATAAAAAATGTGTAGGTAATATGAAAATGGACATGTTATCCCTCAGTCATCTTTAGTTATATTACTTTAATGCTAACGGAGATGTATACTCACAATCAATCAATACATGTAAAATAGTATCCATACCACAGTTGTGCACAGACAAGCACTGCATTTTGTCAGAACCACTCAAAGCATTTTCCATCGATCTCAAAGTACCTATAAATACTGAATGTTTTTGAAAACTACTAGACCTACTACCTTTAGTTTGATTTAGGTTATTGTAAGATTCATATTTTAATTTTTAATTTCTCAGTACTTCGTTTAGATACGGTAAAACTAATATTACTATTGTAATCTATAGATGATAAGGAATAAAACCATTTTTGCTTTTAAAAAATTGTAATAAATAGAAACATATATATATATACAAAGCAATGTGTGTAGGAGAGAGAGAGAGAGAGAGAGTTGAATAAAAAAGGGATGCTATTTTTGGCGTGTAAAAAATACACTAACATAATCAATAGAATTCTATATATAAAATACTGGTTATACTGGTTCTCTAAGATCTTTAAACAATGCAGGCGCTGCTGTTGGGGGCTGCATTTAAGAAACCTAAATAGAGTAAAATATCTTTACAGCGCAGAGGGCTATGGCGGTTAGACAGCATGCGCGCAGTGGCAGTGGCGCTCGACATGCACGAGGCGCAACGCGGCCAGGAGGCGCGCGGGCGGATCCGCCGCATCGGCCAGCGCCAACGTCAGCGGCTGCAGCGCTTCACGCAGTGCACGCGTCGCCTGCCCAGCGCACACCAACACCGGCTGCAGCAGTGCGTTGAATGACAGCGCCAGCGCGGGCTTTAGCACAAAGTCTGACAGTGTCTGTACAAATCCCACGACGGTGTCACGCACCGGCGTCAACGCGGTCCGCAGCATGACTACCAGCAGGGCGGCTGGCAGCGCAGCCAGCAGGCGCGGCGCCGCCAGCAGCTCGCCCAGCAGTCTGGCGGCCGGTCGTGCACTCCTCCTCACCACTCGCTCCAATTGTGTCGGCGGCACACCGCGTGCCATGAGCGTCGCACTCTCGCTCTCAAACCGATAAATATCCAACCGCTCTGGACCTGGATAATTTAACAATATTTTATGTTGCACAGCCTTTTATACTACCTACATTTTCTGTCGGATTTACACGTGTTCACTATATTAGAAATCAATTGGTGTATTTTGTAGCAATGTATTTGATTTCAATAATATAAGAAATGAACTAAAGTGATTTTCATTCCTAGAGAGTTCCACGAGTTTCATTCCTCTGGAGTTGACCACAACACTATTCGATCAAATGATACAGGGAAGTAACAGATTGGAAGTGGAAGCAGATAAGACTCGAACACCGCGACCTTATATTATTATGTACTCATTAAAAACATAACTAACCAAACCTCTTTAGATGCATGATTGTTTATTTTGTTTTAATTATTAACCCTTACATTACTTATGTTTTTTGTTGAATTGTCCAATTACTAACTTTAGTTTTACATAAAACATTGTTACTAACTCATATGGATCATGATGTCCGAAATAAACGTTTATTATCTGGGGGCACGGCAGTGCCCCCGCCAAGTCGAGCAAAAAAGCGGCACAGCCGTACCATCTTTTCTCGAAGCAATTCAGGCCATTTTCGACCCCTTCTAACTTCATGGTCAATAAAACTAGAAACCTGTATTTTCAGTAACCGAGTAAGCATTGTATAACCATGGTATATTTAAAATTTCATTCAATTTTAACCAGTATTTTAAGAATTGTAACCAGTCAAAATTTCTTAGTTTTGTCACTCACTGACTGACCGATCATCAAAACTCTAAGGCACTTCTAGCAGACATAGAAGCTTCAAATTTAAAATATAATTAATGTTTAGTGTATAAATCAAGGAAAAACTAAAACATTTGTTAATTTCTGTCCAGTTTTTTAGATACACTAACTGCATAAATAAGTTTGTAATCCCATATAAATATATAGAATTACAAAGTTACATTTGCAGTGAATGAATCTGTGTACTTGTATATTTATTACAGGTGTACATAGGTACGTTGTTGGTACTTAAGAAGTAGATGGTACCGGAAAGGTAAAAAATTAGGACTATCTTATATACAAAAAGAAATGAGATACCATTAAAAACATAACTTGTAATAAAACCAAGTCTCGCAACTCAGTTCTTCTACCGTAAAAGTTGTCAGATCCATGTAATACCAAGTCGGTTAATTTATTCAGTTCCTACTTAAGGGTCCTTCTATTTTAAGTTATTACGTAATTAGCTAACCTAACAACATTTTATAGTGACCATATCAATTTTAATAGTCTTTTATGTTTTAAATATATAGATTGGCTTGGCAATCGCATTAAGCAATCTAATTTAATAAAAAACGTATTACTTGTGAGATACATTCTGGTTTCATGCGATGGCCAAGTCAATCTATATATTTAAAACATAAAAGACTTTTAACATTGATATGGTCACTATAAAATGTTGTTAGGTTAGCTAATTACGTAATAACTTAAAACAGAAGGACCCTTAGGTAGGAACTGAATAAATTAACCGACTTGGTATTTACATGGATCTGACAACTTTTACGGTAAAAGAACTGAGTTGCGAGACTTGGTTTTTTTACAAGTTATGTTTTTAATGGTATTATTATTACCATCAAATGAATCCAAGTCTTCTTTAGTAATGCTTTTCATTTTCTTCCAGAGAGACGTTTTGTCATCTTTCTGAAAAAATAAGTGATAAAATTACTTGTATGTAACTGAATTGTATTGGAGTCAATGATTTCAAAAAGAAAGATAGGCCCTTCTTAATATTTTACTCAACTTTTTCATACAAGAAAAAGTAGCGCATCTGTCATAATACAAACGTCATATCAAAACACGGCGTAACCAGGGTCGGATTTCCTAGTATAATTATCCTAATTGTATAATTATTTCATAGTTTGTAGTATATGGTATCGTAATTATACAAAGCGAAAATACCATAATTTACCTAAAGGTCGACTTATATTATTATTGGGTCATATTACATTTTAATAATAACCCTACGATGTCGAGAATTTTTGTATTGTACATGAGTATCGCGTTTTTTATTCGCTTTCTGGTCAGTGCATTTATGTTGGATCCTTGATACAACTGTAATGAGGGCTACGTAACTAACCATGATAAAAACTCTATGCTCCAGAAGCAATAGGTTTGAAAACAGAATTTCAAAATATTTTATGAATCAGATTTTCAGATTCAATAAAGCAGATATGGTTTATTTTGTAATCTTTTCGTTTTACCCTAATTGAATATAAAATATATTAGGTACCAATATTGAAAATTTAACTTACACTGTTCTTTAAACAAAAATTAAACAGAAATACAAATAAAACCGTCAAAAAACGAAACGTATAGATAAACCAGACGCGTGATGCCAAAATCCCGGCACATGGGAAAAAAGAAACATGAAACGTGATATAATTTTTTTAATTATATATATATATATATTTTGGGAGGGATTTAGATATAATTTTTGAGGGTCTGAATCCAGCCCTGGCCTAATCTTGGTAACGGAACTAAACTAACTGTAAAATAAAAGTTTAAAAATGCGTTTATATAATAATTTAATAGTAACAAAATTAATATAAGGTTATTTACCGATGATACGATATCCCATGTTATTTAAATCTTTGTTTCGTAATTTTTGCATTAATTTACCACGCAACTAGACATATTTATGACAGGCAAATATGTCCTGCGCGCGCACTGGTGTCGACCGATTCGCGTTGGCTCTAAAGTGTAATTTTAGGGCCAGCGCACTGGTCTGTTTTAGTTGTTCGGTCGGCCCGGTCCTTACGCTAGTAATATAATTCAATGATTGGAGTGCACTATGAGTGCAAACGCACCTCAGTCGCGGCGTGCGCAGGCCGCGTGCCAGCGACTGGCACCGGCGGAGGTTCACGCGCCGCCGCCTGCGCCGCGCCGCACCTACAAATTGCAAATAAAATTATTATATATGTTTATATTGACAGTAGAAACACTTCTATGTATACTACTAGATGGCTTTCGCGGCTTTAATACAATTGCGCACACAGTTACGATTAAACTTTAGATATTAGATTACTGAAAACATGTTATGAAGTGTAACGTTACAGAAGACGCTGACTCTACTGTATATATTTACTGTATATATTTCAGTCAATAGACTTACTTTGAGCTTAAAAACCGTTGCCTTTAGAATTAGATTCATATAGTTCTCATCGTATTGATGTAATCACCAAGTTAAGAAAGTCGGTATTGTACGGAATTAGTTTCAATACATTATTGTATTGCAATAGTTGTTGTCATCGAGACATATTTAGTTGTTTTTAAAAAAAAGCTTTACGACCGCTCCAGAAACTTAACTATTTAGTTCTTTGTTTTGTAAACCGCAAACTATAGATGTGCCAAGTGCTAACTCGAGAAAATTACGACTCGAGTTAACTCAAGTTGAAATTCACACAAATCGAGTTAAAACTCGAGCTAGCAGGATAAAACACAGTAAATGATTTATTACAACTACTTTTTTATAAATTTGTTTATCTGTAACTCTATTTCTAAATGTGGTCTTTGGTGGGTTGGGATAACTATAACTACTAAACTTAGCAGGTGGGATTAAAGTAAAAAGGTATATTTAGTATGTATCACATACTTATGCAGAGGCGGATCAAATGTCGAGGGCGCCCGAGGCTCGCAGCTCGCAGCTCATCTCCGCCTGCCCGGCGCCCATATACATATACATATACATATACATATACATATACATATACATATTATAAACTAGGGCCGATGCAGATGCAAGGGTGAAACATTTTGCTAGCATCATAAATGGAGCAGAGTAAAAGTCTAAAGTCATAACTGTCTTTATTTCAACAAAAGATTCAATGACATTACAAAAAACATCTAACCGAAAAAAAAAACCCCAACAAGGGGATAAAAGAAAAAAAATGTTTTAATTATTTTCCCAACAATTATTAAAATAGCGCGCGCTTTTGCTTTACATGTATTTCTCATAGACAATTTAGTTTTTGGTTATTTTTTAATATCTTTTAGACGCATTCCGATTTTATTGGCTTACGGGCTACGTAAGTTCACGTACAGTCAGCCCAAACTAGAGTTAGGGAGATCCAACTCGAATTAAGCGCAATTTTATTGTATTTAAAGACGACGAAAGCGACAGTAGCCTAATAGCAGGGCGCGGACCGCGAACTCAAAAAGGCCGTGGGTTCGAATCCACCATTCGACTACTGGCGTGAACCACTCGTAACACAAGCAATTTAAGCTTACCACGATTGGTTAAGTGGAATATTAGTAATGTTTATAGCATTGTTAATATTCTTTTTAAATAAAAAAAAAAATAAAAAAATAAAAAAAAATTTAAGGTTGACTTTGCACTGACTATAGATTTTTGTAAATAACATAACGTCTTGCTCTGAGGAGTGTTTATTGCAAACTGATTCTATACAAAAGTACTCTGTGACTGATTCATTACAAACATATTTTACATGACGCATAGAAAATATATGGATGCATAATTGAAAACACGACATACCGCCCACCAAAAACCCTCGGTTTTTATAAAACAAAAAATTTTAAATTTTTGTTTTATAAGAACCGATTTTTAAATTACAAATGAAATTATAAACAACGTAAAGTAAATTAAACAATTAAGTAATTTCTGAAAATGAATTGATTTTACTCATGAGACATAAGCAGGTAAATTAACACCATAGTTTGTTTTAAACATTAAATTAATTATCTTAATTACTAGAAATCTTTGTAATAATATTAATCATAACCATTAATTGGAAGCAAATGTAACTTAGCAACAAGTATTTTAACAATTTTGTCTACATTTTAAACTATAAACACGACATATATTATCCGGTCCAGGATGCTTTTGTACAATACGCCCCAAAGACCACTTCCCAGGAGGAAGATTTTCTTCCTTAATAAGTACAATGTCACCGATTTTAAACTCTTGAGTTTGTTTTTACCATTTTGGTCTTTGTTGCAGCCTAGACAAATATTCATTCCGCCATCTATGCCAAAAACCCTGTAATAATCTCTGAGTATACTGCCGATGTGATAATCTATTTACTTGAATTTGCCTTAAGTTCGGTTCTGGAATGTTAATTGGAGCCTTACCAATTAAAAAATGTCCTGGAGTGAGTATCTCCAAAGAATCAACGTCTGTTGTATCTACTGGACACGAAGGTCTAGAGTTTAAACAGGCTCATATTGGACACAGAGTGGTGGACATCGCTTCAAATGTATGGTGTCTATTTAAAATCCTCGTTAGGTGGTATTGAATGGACTTTACGCCTGCCTTCCAAAGGCCACCAAAATTTGGACTGTATGGTGGATTGAAGTGCCATTGTGTGCCATCTTCTGCGAGTATATCTGATAAAAATCCAGGAATTTCTACCTTGCCTGTTACCATAAATCCTTCAACTCCTGTTAGCTCCTATAAAATTTGACCCCTGGTCACTCCAAATAAGACTATATTTACCTCTTCTTGCTACAAATCTTTTGAAGGCTCCTAAAAATGCGTTGGTACTCATATCTCCAACCAGCTCCAAGTGAATTGCCTTTGTAGCCATACAGATGAAGATGCAAATATATGCCTTATCAGTTTTGATTCCTCGACCTCTTGTTATAAGAATTTGCAGCGGACCAGCGAAATCGACTCCCGCATGTAAGAATGGCCGCGACGGTGTAACTCTTACTTCTGATAAGTCACCCATAATTTGGGTTCTAGTGTTAGCTCGTTGTTTGGCACAAATAAGACACTTATGAATCTTGGATTTTATCAGTGACTTAACTCTTACTACCCAGAAGCGAGACCTTACATAGTTCATGGTTAGTTGAACACCTCCATGTAGAGTTTTTTTTTATTAGCATCGCGTATAATCAATACAGCCAAGTTGTTTTGGTGACTTAGTATCATTAGATTTTTCTTGTTCTCCAATATTGACGCATGTTTGAGTCTGCCGCCCACCCTGAGAATATTCTTACTATCGAGAAAAGGATTTAAATTATTTATGGAACTCTTGCTACTAATGCGGTTTCTTCCTTTAAGACATGTAATTTCATCTGTAAAATCTTCTTCTTGAGCAATTCTTACACCAATTTCTAGATTTCTTCTGTAGAAATAGACTATGTTATATCACTTATTTTTTGCTTCTTAAAATTTAAAAATCTTTTGCAGTAACTTAATGTCCTTAACAATTCATTTAAATTATTAAACCCTCCAAAATGGCTAGACCATGAACATCCTTTTAAAGGTAATTTATTTTCTTTCTAAAGATTGGAGTTGATAATAATTTTCCTTTTTATGTCTGTTTTTTGGTACTTGCTGTTTCCATTATCAAATAAATGTCTTCCCGTTTTAACCACTCTGGGCCTTGCCAACACAACTTATACCCGTTTAATTCAGGTAATAGTAATCCACGAGAAGCAATGTCGGCTGGATTATCCTTGGATTGGACGTGATACCATTTTTTTTTCACGATTAGTCTCCACTGTTCTCCAAAATAGTAACGACAGGATTTCTTACAAAAGTTTGCCATCTAGATGGATCACCTTGCAGCCATGATAAAACGATTGTTGAGTCAGTCCAGGCATGAATCTGTGCATGAGGAATGCGAGTAGCTTCACTTATTTGTTTTAGTAATTTTGACAACAGTAGCGCACCACACAACTCTATTCGTGGAAGCGAAAGTGACTTTACCGGTGCTACACGACTTTTTGCAGCAATAAGGTAAGTAGTGATAGTATTGTTTGTATGTTTAACTCTTAAATAAGTAACTGCTCCATACGCCCTTGTTGATGCATCGCAAAAACCATGTATCGTGCCATTTTTTATATTTTTCTTTGTAGTACCAAGCCATCTAGGTATTTTAATCTCATTCAGTTGATTTAAGCTATTTCTTATGTTTAACCATTCTTTTTTATTTCAGGTTCAACGGCATCATCCCAGGAGACTTTCTTTAGCCACAACTTCTGCATTATTATTTTTGCAGGGAGGATGGTTGGAGTTAACCAGCCGAGTGGGTCAAACAACCGTTGGATTTCTGCAAGTATGATTCTTTTAGTAATGGTTTCAGAGGGCGTTGGTAAATTAATATTGTATTCCAGTATGTCCTTCTCTATGTTCCAGAATAAACCAAGTGCTCTCACCGTCCCGTGTACATCGAAATCAATATTGACTAGAGAGCTTCGTTCATCGGATTCGAATTCCTTCAAAAAATACAAACTATTAGACGCCCATTTTTGTAATTTAAAACCACCCTTTTGCAAAATGTAGGAAACTTCCTTTACAGTTCTTATTGCATTTGTGATATTATTGTTGCGCGCCTAAGTTGACTCCAGGTACCTGGACCTAGCGCCATCTAGTGTCGGGGACCAGAGCGAGGAGGGCTTCCTAGAAAATGTCAATCTTGACTTTCGACCAACAGCGCCATCTAGTATCGAACAGAAGAATTAAGCTTTCTAGAAGCCCCACACTCAAATTTTCTGCGCCTGGTCGGTTGGCGCGCGTATTTACTTGAATATTATGGATGTTTCGGTGAAAAAGGTGTATTTAAAGGCGCCGCAAGACGCGATCGGGGCAGTATTGAATTTGGCGAGACAAGCGAAGCTTTGGAACGAAATTAAGTGAATCAGTGTGATTAATTATTAGTGTTTTAAGTTTTAATTGGTGTTCGGTAATAAAAGTATAAATTTTAGTAATTAAACCGGCAGTTTTTATTATCACGAACCTCAAGCTCGTAATATTATCTTGACCAGACATTGAATCATCCATAAAAAAATCATCTTTTATTGTTTTCAGGAACTGGGTGATACTTGCCTTCGACGTCAGCTACTTGGTGGAGGGTTTTCACGGCAAGGTAAGGTGCCGAAGCGGTGCCAAATGTAACAGTATTGAATTTGGCGAGACAAGCGAAGCTTTGGAGCGAAATTAAGTGAATCAGTGTGATTAATTATTAGTGTTTTAAGTTTTAATTGGTGTTCGGTAATAAAAGTATAAATTTTAGTAATTAAACCGGCAGTTTTTATTGTCACGAACCTCAAGCTCGTAATATTATCTTGACCAGACATTGAATCATCCATAAAAAAATCATCTTTTATTGTTTTCAGGAACTGGGTGATACTTGCCTTCGACGTCAGCTACTTGGTGGAGGGTTTTCACGGCAAGGTAAGGTGCCGAAGCGGTGCCAAATGTAACCCTCGATAAACGGTAGTCTTTAATAGAGTCTATGGGATTATTACGCCACAAAATACCCTGGTAGTCTTCGTCCTCTTTTTTTACTAAGATTTGGCGATACATTTTCTCTATATCAGCCACAAAACATATTTTACTAAGCCGCCACCGCATAATTAATGATCTCATATCTTCCTGAAGTTGAGGTCCAACAAGTAGTTCGTCATTAAGAGAAACATTATTTGCTCCAGGAGATGAGGTGTTAAATACTATTCGAATCTTAGTTCTTTCAATCATTTCTTTGACTACTGGATGATGTGGCAGATACACTGCGGCATTGTTTATATCATTTAGTGGGACTTCTTCCACATGATGTAGTTTTAAATATTCGTCCATAACCTTAACATATTCCTCTTTCAATTTTGGGTTTCTGACAAATCGATTTAGTGCTTCTACAGCTTTTTATGCGACATTGTATTTTCGTCCCACACTAAAAGTTTGCATTGACGTAGCATTATACCTCGTGCACTATTTTTGCTAAAGTTGCAGATCGGCGATTCTTCCTGGGTTAGATTTAGAGGGAGTTTTAAAACAGAATGTGCAGTGCGGCCCCGGCTTAGCAGCGTGACGGCTATACCGGAGGAAGATACGGCCACAACAATATTTTTATCTTTCCGTACTTGCGCTAATAATAAATTTAACAAAAATGTTTTCCCAGTTCCTCCAGGGGCATCTAAAAAGAAAAGTGCACCATTTCCAGATTCAATTTGTCCTAATACTTTGTCAAAAACTCGTTTTTGTTCGGGAAGCAAGCGGGGTACAAATTCGGCTACTTGCTGCTGCAAAGCTGGTATATCGTAGTTTGTTTCACGTATAATTTCATCACTTAGTTCATTTTCGGTTGTTCGCTGAGGGCTTATCATTCCAAAGTCACTTAATTTTTTGCCTACCATTGTCATTACTTCATCTTTAATTTTTCCAAGTGCTTCATTATAAATGTGTCATGTTCGCGTGTGTCTGCTGTAACCTTCGCAAAATGTCTTCCGACATGTACTCTTTATATTTGTCCCACAATTCATGTGCATTAAATAGCTCGCAAGATGATATGAGAGTTGCATAAAGAACCCTAATTTTGGCTGGTGACTGGCACTGCACAGCTTCCTCCATGGTTTCATCCCAGTGACTATCGTTTTCTAAAAGATGCAGAGCTTCACATGCTTCTCCATAAGTTGCGCATTCCTGACCGTTGACAGTTTTAAGGTCTTTATATCCTGTAGGACCCTGAACATGGTACAGCAGCAATCGTAAACAGAAACATTGAAAATTAGTAACATGGACGGTATACACACGACCAAGGGCATCTGATGACTTTACACCGGGCCCATTTGCAACAGGCGCGCCTTGAATACGGCGTTTCCACTCCTTCCTAGATGTGTTCCAAGTATAATAACGGGGGACTTCAGAATATAACAAAGTTTTTGCAAAGGGGTAGGTTTGACAAAGTTGAAAGAAGACTGTTAGTGTAGTTTTTGGCGGTGATGCAATTCTTTCTTGTAAATTTCTTTCGGTGAAATATACACGCTCTCTATTTTCTAAGTACACAGCAAGGTGAGTAACTGTTGGGTGCCTTTCGTGTAAAGGGAAGCCAAGGAGACGCCACGTTGCCTCGTTACTGCTGACATAACGCCCTGCTTGAAAGGTCTGTACTTCATTAACGGGATTTGCCTCACGTTCACTCCTGAAATTAAATATTGCTTGGTCGCTTCCTTTATTTATGTACTTACAGATATACTTGATTGCGCGGACAGAGCTACATGCTCCTACATTAATGTGTGCATTAAACATTTTACATAGAATGGGCGAATACGGGACAATCCAGCTGTTATCTAAGGTTTCGAACGCTCCAGAGCGAGATTTGATTGTAACTTTCCTGCCACCATCTTCGGGAGCTCTGCGTCTGTATAAAGGGTAGCCATTGTCATTGTGCACTGTTTCTTTTAATAGCTGTTTAGGGAATTTCTTTGTACATTTTCCTTTTTTCATACATGGCGATATTGAATTTCGTGCTCCACATGGACCGTGAATCATATTTCGGACGATGGTATCGTACAATTCTTTATCTTGCTCAGGATCCGGAATCTCGGCGCTTATTATGTCGTCTATTTGGCTGGGCCGCAACTTCTCTTTAAGCCATATTAGAATGTGGGCATGCGGTAATCCTCTTTTTTTGCCATTCAATTGAATACATGAAGCACTGCACCTCTCCGAAAATTTTCCCTTTGTTAATTACATACATTAATTTTTGTACTTTTAATCTAACTACTCTAGCAACGTGTCTGTCAGTACTTTTTTGGTCCGGCATTAGCTCCTCGGTTATTTCTTTCCATGTGGGATTGCAAGTAAAAGTAACAAAAAGATCAGGTCTTCCGTAAGTTCGTACATAGGCGAATGCGTCTTGTGTGTACTCATGTAGGTAGCGGGGACTGTTAACGAATGATGAGGGCAGAATCACTGTTTTTACCTAAATCTCTGGGGTTTACATTGGCGTCGCTAGAAACTGCATCTTGTAAATGTATATAATTTTCAACGCGCAGCTTTTTTTTTATTTAAAGATATATAACCTCTCAACTGCGGATGTCCAAGACTTGGACACGAAAATATCTTCGTTGACTGCGGGCGTCCAAGTGTAAGACATTTTTTACCCGTTACTTTAATGAAGAAACAAAGCATTATGCGCTATTTCTAACTCATTCTACCATATGTCAATGTGTACAAGATAAAAAAGGCTAGCATAAAAACCCCACAGCTTATACACTTTAGTAGTAGGTATATTTTATTTAAATCATTCTTAAATGTCGTCCGTTCCTTGAGTCAGCCATTAGTGTGATTGACGCGCGCTAACAAAGAAGTTGTTTGTAATTATTTTGTATTCATTTATATTTATTGTGTGGTGAATTATGTTAAAACAATGCCTGGGTAAGCCACCTTCTTATTTGTAATCTCATTTTGTGTTTTATCTTATTAAGTACGTGTAAAATCGTTTTTTAATATGTATGAAGCGAACTGCTATCTTAGAACTAACATGCTGGTTGAGGAAATTTGACTTGAAATGTACGTAAAATTTTAGTGTTGACTGTCAGTTTTGTGTTAAAATATGTGTAATTGTTCATCGTTCATAGTTTTAGTACATCAAAATGAGGATAAAGTGGAATATTTTCAAAATTTTAATGTAATTACGCAATAGGTGCAATAGTGTCCATTTTTGAGACGTCCGCAGTAGTGAATTCTAGTTCTCTGTTTTGCGGGTGGCGAAAAAAGGAACTAAAGTTTGCCATACTGCATCAAGTTCAAATTCGGTTGAATGGTTAGAATGGTAAAAAATCTAGTGCC